AAAAAAAAAAAAAATCGTCCGGGAATATTTTCGCTAATTACAGATGAATAAAAACGATATAATCGTTCTTCTAGTTAAATATATAAGGAAAAAAAAAAAAACGAACCAAGTAGTTAAGCTTAAGACCCAACTAAAAGCTTACAACACTAATCCTCGTCAGGATCATCGGCTGAGAAATCAGGCTCCTCGGGCTTCTGAAACTTAGGCAGCTCGACAGAATCCTTGTTGTTCTTGTGGGCCCCACGTCTCGTGTTGGCAGCGAATCTCGACGCGAGTATCGTGACCCCCAAATTCTGTTTGGGCTGAGAAGGATTTTCGAGTCCCGATAAATCTTCTCCTTCTTCACTTTTTTCGTTGTTATTCATCGGTAACTCCTCGTCGCCTAACATAGAAAACGATTCTTGCATGCTTAAACTCTTGGCCAATCTCCTCCTTTTGTGCCTATGCCAAGCGGCCTGGATGAAACACGCGGCCCAAGTCCTCCAATGGTGCGAGTAATACCTGTTTTTTACGTACATTGATAATCATAGTAAACAATAATATATTTGAATTTTGAAGGCGGTAGTTACACTTAACTTTTTCCCCTCTTGTATAGTGTTATTGTCTTTTTTCATAGTTTCATATATTATCATGAATCTTGAAATAAACATCTAAGTCATTAAGTAACTAAATGTGTGCTGCAATTTTTTGCTAGTGCTATTATCTTTCATAAATTCCACATGAATCTTGAAATAAGTATCTAAAGTCAACAAGTATCTAAGTATCTAAGGCTATGTTTTTGGTAAAACTTATAGTTGAAAGCTAACTTATATGATAAAAGTGTTTGGTAAAATTAGTTGATAAGGTAGCTGGACAAAAAAATAAAAATAAGAAATTCAACGAGCTTATTTGAAAAGCTACCGAAAGAAGTTTATGAGATAAACTGAGTTTTTTAAAAAAAAACCCGTCCTACCAAATGAAGAAATGAAGTTTATTTGAATACAGGAAGCTTATAACCTAGCTTATTTGGTCATTAAACATAGCCTAAATGTGCGCTGCAATTTCTTGTTGTTCTATTATCTTTCATACTTTCATATATTCCCATGAATATTGAAATAAACATCTAAGTCAAGTCAAGTACCTAAATGTGTGCTGCAATTTCTTGCTATGCAAGCGCCTGAATTGATTGGCGACGAACTTGAGATCCTCGGCTCGGAGAGCAAAAGCCTCGACTTCGCTAAGCGCCTTAACTGTTCGAGTGGAGGATGGCAAGTTGAGTGTCGACCTTGGGAGTAGGGCCCACGCAAGAAGCTCCTCCCCACAGAAATCACCAGGCCTTAGTGTGGTAGAGTTGAAAAAACCCGAACGGCCCCCGTTAGTAGTCGAGCTCTCGAGGGTCCCACGAATAACGAACAGCATCTCGGTCACCGGGTCACCCTCACGAACAATGTACGTGCCTTGTATGCTCAGAGACGAGACCAACCGCTCGCAAATCGCGTCTAGGAGTTGATCGTCCATTTGCGAGAAAAACGGGACCTAAAATCGAAAAAAAAAAATAAGAAAAGAATACTAAGGCTTTGCTTGTTTATCAAAAACTAGAAAAAGATCTATCTCGATTCAAAATCTAACTCAACTTTAACTAAACCCCAATATTTTCAATATTATCAATATAATTAAATAATATTATTCAATCATTCTTATGAATCACATCAACTTTAATTCATCATTCATCCACTCACATATTTTAACTACCAATCATTTCCGATCGTTGATATCCTTTTACAACATATCAATTTTAACCATTTTATTTTAAATATTATATTAATACATTCTTAAAATCTCAGTAACAACTAATCATACGAACCTTTTTCAAATAAACTCTAGATAACACAAAAAACCAGAAAAAAAAAGTAAAAAATAAAAAAATGAACAGTTTTTTTATAAACAAGCACGACCTAAGAAGTAACACTTTCTCTCTGCAAAAAAAATGCCACTTTTGGTTGTAATGTTATCACAGATGTTAATAGACAAAAGGTGGCACTTTTTGCAAAAGGGCCTAAGCTTTTATATTCTGATTTTTGAAAAGATAAATGGCGAAATCTTACACGACGAACGAGGGCAAGACAAAGGTGTCGTTGAATGTCACGACGAAGGTCCGTGGGCAGAGCGTGTAGAATAGTTTCCTCGTCGACCCCTCGTGTGGTGAACCACTTGTACTGCATGAAACGCCTCACGCGTTGTTGGAGATTTTCCGGAAGCTTCCGGTGCCTCATCCACTCCTCGGTGTCTCGGCGCTTGAGCCTCCACTCTTCGAGCCTCACCGTGATTGATTGCATGTAGGTCTGCATTTTAGGAGTCAAGTGCAAGTGTTTTTTTCAATAAGTAGTACAATTGATCCTCCAAATGATGCCTAAAGAATCCTTATTCGACAAGGCTATGCATGATTTTTTTTTAAAAAAAAAAAAAAAATGTGCAAGAAGATTTAACAATACCTGCATATTTCCAATCAAGTGAGCAAATAGAACAAGCCCTAAGATAGCAATGAGTATGGCAAACAATGTTTCACCAATGAACGTGCTTGTCGTCAATGTCTGACCATAAGAACTGTTCGAAAACAAAAAACTGAGAAATCCCATTTCGATGTGTCGAAAAAGGAAAAAAGAAAAAAAGGCTTCGAATTGGTACCTCAAGTTCTGCAAACCCCACCACAGACAGTAGAAGTACTTCTCCAAGAATTGGGACGACACGACATCATTTGCAACGGCATTTCCGAATATCCCGTAATTAAAATAAGAAGTATCGTCGGGATTGCATTTGTTGAATACAAGCGTGGAGTTTACCCACATTCCTCGGTCACCGTGAGATAAAGTGCTGCAATCAAGAAAACGAAGGGAGCATCTCGTGCTTTTGTATTCATCCATGCAAGCCGATTTCCAACAAGTCGCGTGTCTCTCGATCGACAGCAAGTACCATGAAGCTCCCAATACCTACAGCCAAGCAAAAAAAAAAAAAAAAAAA